AAAAAAAAAAAAAAAAAAAAAAAAAAAAAGAAAAACTGCAAATGAACAAAACTGCGGTAGAATGTTTTTATTCTTTTTTTTTTGTTTATAAACTAAACTACAGGTAAGTTTTTGTTTTTGAACAATTTTTGCTCTGGAAACTTGTGATGACTGTAAAGTGTTTCAAGAAGGATCTAAACATTGAGCGATAGTAAACAACAGTTATGTCAGTAGAAAAATTAACCCTTTCAGCTTCTGCAATTCTACACTATGCCTAAAGTTCAACTACAGATAATTTTGAAATCAGAAGGCATTGCTCAAGATCTAATGAGTCTAATAACAATGTCGTAAGCTCAAATAGAATCTTTAGTGAGAAACTACAAAGACCTGTAAAGATGAGTAGTTGGCGTCAAACTGAAGTAACCCAGTTAAATTACGCTAAATAAGTTACACCAACTTGTTACTTCCTTGAGATTTTCATTCTTTAATAAACAAAGAAAAGACCACTATAATTTTAAGCACTCAGATTTGTTTTAAATATATAATTTCAAAAAAAAAGCATTAGTTATAACAGCGATAAGGAAGAAAATATGTAACGAAAAAGAAGAAAAAAAGTTTAGGAAAAAAACACTAGCATAAAAATTATCACCAAATTTTAGATGTTAAAAATAAAGAGAAAAAGATTAATTGATACGTTTACTTTGTGCTTTTCGGTTTTTTATTGGTCCTGTGTCAAAAATTATTTTTAAGACTTGCTCAGATGTAATTTAATTCTTTGTAAAAAAAAAAAATTTGAAATGTTATTTTTTGGAAGTAACAAAAATGATGAGTAACTGAATTAAAGTTTAATGCGTATTAAAATCTCATGAGAATTGTGAGAAATTGTAAACTTTTTTTTTTGTGAAAATACACTTAAAAGCACTTAGTAGAACAGCTTTAAATCGAGTTAGCTTAACATTAATGACAAATGAACTTTTTTTTTATTTTACTGCTAAACGAACTACTGAAACTGAGACGAAAAAGTTTAGAGTAAAAAGATAGTTGAGGTTTTGTTGGAGGAATGATAGTGGTTGATTGGAAACCGAAGACTTTATTAATACAGTATTGTGCTTTATCAGAAGACTTTGTTCTTGATGATTAAACTATTATCAGAACAATTAAAACAGCTATATTAAAAGCCTAAAATTTACTTTTAAGTTTAACCAACTTTTTTGATTACATTTTTTTTTTGTGGCAGCCGGAAAGGAAAAAGTGGAGGAGGAGGAGGGGGAAAAAGGAATTAATAACCAATTTAGTGAGGTTTGTGTGTTTAACACTTAAAAAACGGAATCGCAAGAAGCATTATCCCAATCAGAAGTTTTGTTGATTTGGTTTAACAGCTAACGAAGCTTTTTAAGTATCAAAGAGGGAAAAAGATTGGCTAATAAAAAAAACAGCTACAAATTTTTTTTTAACGGAATCTTAACTGTACATTTTTTATTTATTTATTCCTTTCTTCTAAAAATTATAATTTTTATTGAGAAACAAAATGTATTTTGTTTTTTATCTACTGTTTTTTATTTAACAAGATAAAAGAAATTTTTAAGGTAATTATTGCAGCTAAAAAATTATTAATTTAAATAAACGACAAATTTTTCTCGGCACAACAATAAAAAAAGAGTTGCAAACTAAGAAAAAAAAGCAAACCAAAAAAGATTTTAAATA